AAAAAAAAAAAAAAAAAAAAAAGAATTTGAGGGTGTGAATGTTGGCCCTTTGAGTAACCCAACCTTGTCTGTGAAATGGGAATACACACTACACCATTCTCATAAAACTGTTAAGGAGATTGAAATGCTACCACAGACGGAGATAACAACATTTGTGGGATATGACGTCTGATTTGTAGATGTGGCAAAAGTAGAGAATACATAATATCCTAGTCGGATATCATGTAGCCAGTGGCAGTTCCGAATTCTATTACTGAATGAATGAACCTAGGAATAAGTTTTTAAAATTCTAAGTAGGTAGATGTTAAATAAACCTTTCAAATTTTCTTGAAAAATCTAGGATTGGTAAAAATAAACTCTAAGGAAGTGATAAGAAATGATTGTTTTGTAAGTCAGCTCCACAAATTTATTTTTATCTTTCTATATTTATTTTACAAAATCCTTTGTACTTCTCAGGAGACCTCCTGGTAAACCCAGATCAGCCGAGACTCACAGTCCCTATATCTCAGATTGCTCCCGACTTGATTTTGGCTGACCTGCCCAGGAACATCATGTTGAATAATGACGAGTTGGAATTTGAGCAAGCCCCGGAATTCCTTTTAGGTAACTATCTTTGTAAATTTGAGAAAAAATTAGAATGCAGTTTCCTTCGTATAATTTCTATACCTTAGTCATACAGAGTTTTAGTGTCTTCATCTAGTTGATGTAATGTTTTTCATTTAGAGTGGTACATTTTAAAGTAATATTATGTGACAGATCTGGACTTAGCTTTGCACGTCCATGTAGACTAGAATTAAGAGGAAGAAGGGACTACATGGAAGCACAAGTGTTTGTGAAACACACCGTGCACTTGCTGTAGCTGCCTGGAGATGGATGAGGCGGGTAAGGAGACTTGCAGTTGGGCGAGGTGAAATAGCCATTTCGCATCTCAAAAAAATAAAATAAAATAAATAAGGACTAACATCTCTGTGTAGGCATGGTAGCAGTTTTATTTCTCACAAGACAATACTGAGTTCTCATAAATATTTGTGAAGCATTTTGAAATTAAAAAACCAGAAGCATTAAATTGGTAACATACTCAAGTTCTGCTCTTGGTTGTTACCATTTCCTGGTATTCTGGACAGTTCGCGTTTACCGGCCAGCACCATTCCAGTGAATTTCAATAGGGCATGATGGAATCACTGCACTCATATAGCATTTTTAGGTGTTCACTCAAAGAAGGCAAAGTCATAGTAATCAAATTCCAGTATTCTTATTCTAGTCTTTCATTGTACATAGGTCTTGAGGCTTTAAAGGTGTTTCAAAGAATACTCCAGAAAGTTAAAAAGTTGAGCAGATTACGAATGATAATTAATTTTTGAAGGAAGCAGTCAGAAGATATGTCATGTCATATCTTTCTGCAGAGTCCTTGTGTGGCTTCCCACCTCCAGAATGAGTGCTACTGTCCTTAGTGTCTCTTGTGCTCCCTGTTGAGCCCCCTGGTTACCTCTATGTAAAATATGTTTTCTTAAAATTTTCTTTTTTAATTTGCAAATATATACACATGCACACACATACATGATGTTTTGTTATATGTATACATTACTGCCTAATCTATCCGAATATTAACCAAATGTTTCCACAATTTGGGACCTGACATAGAAAAGCAAACCTTTATTGTTCACAGTGATTGGGAAGCTTAGAATGAATGCAGCTGCCTTGGAACTCTAAAAAGGAATAGTGTGTTAACACACAATGCAAAATTGTCTGTGACAAAGCCAACTTTACCAGCACCAAACTTGACTAATTTTTCAGAGGATACAGATATGGAGTACCCTTTCTCTGAAGAAGCCCCCAAGCCATCAGCCGTGGCTTCCCAAAATATTCTTTTATTCTGCACTGATACATGCTTCATATTAAGACAGGTATTGAGCAGTATATTCAGAAACATTATCACAAAAATCTACTTGGAGGCAGCTGTGTTTTATTTTTCCTTAACTATACAGACAGGTACATTTCCTCTTCGAAGGGTTAGTTTTCTGGGGAATCATAATAGACAGGAACTTCAATGGTGTGATTTGGTAGGACTAGAAAGGTTTCTTTACTCTCAATTTTTTTCCTACCAAGGTGTCACAAGTACACAATAGCAGTCCATACTTTGTATTCATATGACACTGGTTCCATTGCTACCTGAAATTTTGATCTCTCTCCCTATGTGTGTTCCTTCTCTCTGCTCTGGTAATATTTCCTGCATTGCTGATAGCTGTCCAGGTTGAAGGACACCAAAACAGAATGCATCTGTTACCTACGTTTCCATCTCTCCCACCCATCCTCTTTCTTCTTCTTGCTTTGTTTTTTCTCTTTTCCTGCTCCTGTTTACCCACCCCTGATGCTTACACTTAACTCTTCCTGTAGCCTTCATTCCCCTCTGCAAGTTTGCACCAATATTAATACTGTTAACAGTAAGACATTGATTGAGTACTGGAGGGATGGAGTGGGAGATACCAAGAATGATAAGATGCATATAGTACTTTTAACATGCATAGACTCTTAGCGTCAGGTATAGTGGTGTGTGCCTGTAATCTCAGCTACTTGGGAGGCTGAGGTGGAGGGTCATGAGTTTGAAGCCAGCCTGGACAAATGGCAAAATGGTCTCAAAAACAAAAACAAAAACAAAACATGAAACCTACCAGCAAGAAAAAACTCCCCCAAACCTACTCTATTAGAAATACAAGACATACTCACAAGTAATTTATTTCTAACACACACTGCTTCTGAGCATAAGATGATGTATGATTACATATGAATATTATGGAGATTTTACAAAAATACACAGAAGGTTACCATAGATGCATAATTTTGCCTTTAGAAATAACAGGTTTGGGTATTCAGATCTATCTGTCTATCTACCTATCTATATCTATCTACCTATCCATCTATTTCCTTTCCTTTCCTTTTCCTTTTCCTTTTCCTTTCCCTTTTCCTTTCCCTTTCCCTTTTCCTTTCCCTTTCCCTTTCCCTTTCCCTTTCCCTTTCCCTTTCCCTTTCCCTTTCCCTTTTCCTTTTCCTTTTCCTTTTCCTTTTCCTTTTCCTTTTCCTTTTCCTTTTCCTTTTCCTTTTCCTTTTCCTTTCCTTTCCTTTCCTTTCCTTTCCTTTCCTTTCCTTTCCTTTCCTTTCGAGACAAGGTCTTGCTATGCAGGAGGCTGACCTCTAACTCACAGCTATTCCCCTGCCTTAGCCTCCCAAGTGCTGAGATGACAGGCATGCATCATCATGGCCAGCTGTTTATATTTTCTTGTCATTTTTCTGTTTTCATTCTCTTTTATCCATTGAATGACCAGGTTTTGAGGTACTGTATGGGAACCACAGATATTGTATGAATAAGATTTATTATATGTCAGTGGAGAGCAGTAATCCATGGTGTTGATCATGGCCTTGGTTTCCCAATGTGCACCAGCTCTTGTAGGCTGGATAAGCTCCACAGAGTTGGAGATGATGAGGCAGCAGAACTCCTCAAGGAAAGACATAGGAAGGGCACTGACTGAACGTACACAGCAGGAAGGAGTGCAGGGTGTTTCAACTATTCCAGTTTGTCTAGAACAGTCAGCCTTAGTTGAAAAAAAGAAGCAAAGCAAAGAAAAAAGAAAGGAAAAAAGAAAAAACCTAGCGACCCTGTTTCTCAGGACTAGTTTGATAAAAGTCTTTGAGCCCAAACATTAGCATTTTTAAAAAGCCCTTGATAGGTACAGTCAACTAGCACTAGGAGGAAAAGTACTAAATTTAAACCTAAAGGAGACGCAGAACAAGAAGAGAGCTAGAAAAGGAATTCAGGGCTAAATCTGAACTCGATTTGATTTAATAGGCCATGTGCGATCATTTGGCATTGCATAGGAGAATGACACAAAGAGGGATTTTAGGGGATTTCCTTTTGTGGGAGAGAGACCCAGCTGGCGGGCATGAGCCTGTGCAGAGCACTAAGAGCGCAGGAACAGCATATTGGTGTGGATCCTGGGGAGCAGGGCATGCTGCACCTACGGAGGGGGACTACACAGTGCCCTCCCTATTGGCTGTGGGGCTGGGCGTGGGCGAAGACTTGAATTAATTCTCTCATTTTAACTCCAGAAGACCTTGGAAGATTTTATTTTGTTTTGAGCAGCTAGATGGAGGGTGGAATAAAACTAATTCAGAGAAAAGATAATGAGTGTAGCTGGCGGTGTGTGAGCACGATTTGGAAGTGCAGACCAGGGGGTGGACTCACCATGTCGGCGTGATCAGGACCAGTGTGAGGGTCTCTGCCCGGGGTCGACGTCATGGCGGGGGACGATGTGATGGTGCAGAACGTGATAGCAGGAAGACAGGAAGATGGGGCAGAATCTTCAGGTGTCTTACTTTGCAGCTCCCTAAGAAGGCAGGGGAAACATGGAAAAAGCTTGGCTCCATGTAACAAATGGGTCTGATAGGTCTTATATGCGGCAGATATAATTACAACAGATAAAACGCACTTGCTTCTCCTGTTTGGAAAGATACATTTAAGTGCTTTTTGTGTGTGTGTGTGTGTGTGTGTGTGTGTGTGTGTGTTTCTCTTAAAGGTGACGGCAGCTTTGGATCCGTTTACCGAGCAGCCTACGAAGGAGAGGAAGTAGCTGTGAAGATTTTTAATAAACATACTTCACTGAGGCTGTTGAGACAAGTAAGCAATCCAACACTATTATTCTATCAAACTGTTACAGATGATGTCTCGGGGGGGTTCTTTCCCAGTCCTTGGCGTCCTAAATGAAGAATTGGACAAGTCACACAGAAAAAGCAGTCAGGCTATAGATGTATGAAAGGTAGGAAATGAAGTGCACCTCACAGGGCAGGGGCTCACAGTGGCCCCAACAAAGTGAAGCAGGAGACTGTGGGGGACCCCCACCAAAGACAGTCAGACACGGAGGAGGAGCAAGGGCAGATTCTTGCCAGCATTCCTCTGTGAGGGGTGTCCACCTGAGAGCTCAGGATGAAGCCTTGTTTCCACTTTTGTATTGTTTCTATCCTAGGGGGCAATTTTCTACTGGTAATCAGCACAAAGCAAAGCTACAGAAGCAAAAGCGATGATTAACAGTTATCCAGGAGGTAGAAACTTCACACAGGCCTTTCCAAGGCTGCTATGGTCCACTGATTCTTACAGCTGAGCCCAAACATCACTGGGGTCAAACCATCCATCTCTTCCACTCCCTAAAGCAGCTTAGCTGTCCAGCGTCACCCCCGGAGGGGATCGCCTCTCTCAAGAGGAGGAGGATCCTTTCCTATCCAAAATATCTGAGTTGAGCCCCACCTCATATAAATGTGGCATCAGGACAATCGTCTTTCAAAAATGCACCTGGCCTCTCATATCAGATATATAATGGCATATTGAAAAGTATTCTTCGTTTCTTATCTAATATAAATGAAAGATTAGGACAGTGTCTTTTGATTGGGTGTGCTCATATGTAAATGCAGAATTAAAAGTAGTGTCTTCTGATTGGTCTGGTGCACAGCACCAGTGGCCAATCAAAGACTAGAAATAGCGCTTTTCTGATTCCCATCTTGCACGGGGCTTACAGACCTCAGCCTGGAGTCACGGTGGGTCTTGTGGTCTCCATATGTCTTGTCTTTTTAGGTAACACCTCACTCTGTCGGTTAGCGGTGGGTTTTCATGACTTCTGATACATTCCACCCGGTTGGTTGTCCGGCTTGCACCAGCCCAAATCCCCTACCTCACAGTCATATGTAGTTAATTTCCCAGAACTCTATATTTTGGATGCGATTGTGAAAATGTAAAATAATGACCATATTTCTCTTAAAAGTTTAATTGTGAAACTTTACTTTGTCTTAAATGGAGTAAAATCTTTTTCTGTGCTTAAAAAACAAAGCAAAGATAGCATTTGGAAAATTCCTATAGTTGTAATACTCAAGACTGATATAGATGTTGGGGGGAAGACTCACATTTCATCTTTTAGGGTAGAATCTCCTTACTCAAAACGTGCGCCATGGACGAGAGTCTGTGAGCCGTGTGAGGTTCTTAGAGGCCAGACGCTTGGACCTGTCAGGGGCGCGTTTTGTCCCTAGGGTTCTCTCCTAGTCAGATTTCAGATGCTTCTACCCCTTACCAGACCAGGAGCCCAGAAAGATCCTGAGTTCAGGTCGTGTTTTCTACAGAATGTTTGTCTTTCATTTTTCTGACTCAGACATAATGGGTTTTTGTTTTAGTAAGTACGGCTTCTGTATGTTCAGGGTAAAAGGCACACTTTAAAGCATGATTTCATGTTGCGAATTTGATTAGAAGTCAGAAATCTTAAATTAAAAGCCTAAGCTTGTTTCTTTCTTTCTTTCTTTCTTTCTTTCTTTCTTTCTTTCTTTCTTTCTTTCTTTCTTTCTTTCTTTCTTTCCTTCTTTCTTTCTTTCTTTCTTTCTTTCTCTCTCTCTCTGTCTCTCCCTCTTTCCTTCCTTCCCTCTCTCCCTCCCTCCTTCTTCCTTCCTTCCCTTCTCTCTGTCTTCTTTCTTTCATCTGTCAACTTTAGAAAGAACTTATTGTCTGTTACAAAAGATGGGCCAACGTAGCATACTGAGTCTTACAATTGCCTTTCCTGGTTGTTTCCCAATTTTTTAAAAAATTTACAATCAGTTATGTTAGTTTTCCTAGTATAGTAGTAATTATAACTTGAAATAATAAAACTTTTATTCTTCAGTATGCCAACTCTAAATGGCATGTACTGGCTCATTATTTTTTGAGATGAAGAAAATTATCATTATTATTTTTTCTCCTCTTTGCAATCCCTTCCTAAATTCTAGAGTTTATTATTTTTATATGGATAAAGTTTATGACATTTATATTCTGTTTTGTAATTACAATTAAATTATTTGCCTTCTGCATTTAGTTTGATTCTAAAACAAACCCAGTAAATACCTTTGATATTTCCTTTAACTTATTTGTACAGAACCAAAGTATTTCTACTCTTAGATATGGAAAAGTAACCTTCTCTTACTAGTCTTTTTTTTTCCTGCTATATTAAGAATATTGCAAATGTCAAAATCAAATGGATTACTTATATGATGTATTTATCATCAGTTGAAAATAGGACCTTATTTTAATTTGGACCTTATTTTAATTTAAATTTAAAAACTAAATTCAGATGTTATTTTAATTTAAATAGGACCTTATTTTATTTGGGTCACAATTATATCCTTATTTTTTATGTGTCTTTTGAATTATTTAGACTTTCTAATAATCTTTTATTTAACAGTAGAGGAAAGATATACCATCCATTGTGGCTTTATTACTGTCTAAATTCTTAATCATGTAGCTTGGATAATAGGGTCAGTTTTCTTCCCTCTTCCTTTTTTCGCTTGTGATTTCCTACTCTAAGAAGAGACAGATTTTCAGGCTATTTACAGAGTTTCACAGATTTGTTTTCCTTGTCCTCTTGATAGTTTTTGGATTCTGTGGCTCTCTTAGCTGAATTGTCTACGTTTTGTTGGAGACTTTTATTTTCAAGTAATTTTTTTCAGAAAAAGTGCTTTTGAGGTAATTTGAGGTTATGTTTTTAGTTCTTACATGTTAAAACTACCTGAATTTTGCTTTCATACTTGATGGGTGGATATGCTATTGTAATTTTTAGAAATTTAGGCTTAAAATAATTTTTCTTAAAACTTTGGAGAAAATTTCAGTTATTATTTTAGTACCTGCTATTGCTAATGAGTAGGTTAATGTCAATCAAATACTTCTTCTTATGTAGGTTAACTTTTGTCTAAAAACTGAAAATTTGATCTTCTAGATTTCTCTTGTCCTTGGTACCCTGAAACTTCACAGATAGTTCATGAGTCACTTTTTTGATTTTGTTTTTTTGAGATAGGGTCTCCCTGTATAGTCCAGGATAGTCTTGAACTCAAGGCAGTCCTCCTGCCTCAGTCTCCGGAGTGCTGGGATTACAAGCGTTTGTCACCGCACCATGCCATGAGTCATTTCTTATTCCATCTTTTTCATTATTGGGGAACATTTTCATGGATTAATTCTTTTCTGTTATTTATTATTTTCTTCACAACTTTTATTAATCGTTAGCTAGATTTTATTAAGTAGCCGCTATGTACTGGGTTAGGTGGTGAAACAATAGCAAGCTAAACCAGTTGAAGTCTTGCTTTTCCTGTAGCTAGTTTCTTAAGACTGATTATTTTTCATCTTTTGTTCAGGAGTATTCACTAGATGTTGAGACTCCTGGGTCTCTTGAATTTCTTCTCAAAGTTCTATCTGCAATTCCAGTGAGTTATGGGACTATCGCTTGTAGATTTTTACTTTACCAGAATGCCCCATTTATTATTTAGCTTCTTCCTGAATTTTGTTTTGATAACCATCTATTTAATTTCTAGCAATTCCTCCTTTCCTCTGGTTGCACCTTTGCAGGCATATTTTTAGATGAGATATCGTTAAGAATTTCCCTTTATATCAGTTAGAATTTAGTTACTTCAGTTACTTGCATGACTGAGGTTTCTCTGAGGTCATTTGTTTTGTGGGTTCATACCGGTCTTTCTCTTTTATCTGTTTCTTTTCCACCTAGAGTATTTCTGATGACTTCTCATATCTATGCATGATCTCTATGTAGTAGTTATTAAAGGATTATCTTGATTATTAAAGGTAACTGTAGAGTAATTTTTTGCACCTTGGTTGATTTGTTTGTTCCCCTTACCACTCTCTGAAAAGAGGATTAACTATGAGCTCTTAATGGGTGGGCATTATTTCTGACTACTTTTTATTTGAGTTACACAGGCAGGGACCACCCAGGCCTGCTAAATCTATAATAACCACCTCTGGAGGTGCTGTGCCTTAGCCCATGTCCTGCCTTCTTCCTGCTGCATTGCTCACTGGGGAATTCTAGATGTTTCCACTCTGTCCTGTATCTCTTCTGAGCTCAAAAACCCCCACAATGTGTTTCATCCAATAAATTACCTTCACTTTCTATGTTAAAAAATAAAAATCACAGGGGTGCTCACTATAGGGTGGACTTAATTCAGTGGTTCTGGCAAATTTCTGCATCATTCCTGTAAGCTAGGTGTATTATTGCTTTCATTCTGTTGGGATGACTGTTCTCATTGTAGTAACATAGGTCCAGGCCTTCCTGGTGTGTATCAGATGCACAGAAGACAAAGAAGTCCCTGGTTTAAACCTTGTATTCCAAAGGAACCAAAATTCTGACACGGTAGCTCATTAAGTGGAAAAGAGAAACTTCTCTTGACCTCAGTTGAGCCAATGTCATTTTCTCAGCACGCACTTATGTTAAGGGAAGTACTGTGTGCTGATTGGCTTAGAGTTGCGCTAGTGAACCAATCGCTGTGGCAGTGAGGATGGTACCACTTAGAATAGTCTCACCTTTCTCCTGAGGGACCATTGGAGTCAGCTCCTCCCGAAGTCCATGGTGGCATTGGTGAAGCTTCCAGACCTCAGCAAAAATCAAGATGTTTTCTGGAGGAAAGAAGGGAATCCACAACCAGCAGTACTTACTCTAGTACTTCTTGTCTTGGACTGGGATTTAGTCCTTGTTTTTCTGAGTCTCTGCTAACAGAAATAGGGTGAGGGAGAGAAGCAGGGTGAAAAGGGGAAGTAGAACTTGGTGCTCATTCTGTTTTTACCATAAATCAATTGTATTTTGAACTCTATTCATCCTCACTTTTCCCCTTGATGTATTAAAAAAATTCTTTGCGATTAGATCTAAATAATCTTTGCAAACTTCAAAAAATACACAGCTATAATATTTCGTTATTCTGAGTAATGAAAAATTTCATGAATATACAAAATATCCTGGGAAAATTTTGGTTATTAGTAACGGAAGTCACACTGCAGTTCTAGAAATAAAATGAAACACTTTGTGTATTGGAGTAAGTCTGTGAACAAAATCTGGCACCCTCTTTCAATCCATAAGTATTTGTTATATAAGTTGATTTTCTAACCTTGCTATTAATCTCCAATATATGTTTCAATTTTACGAAACGTGTTTGAGTTACTCTGATGGGAACCGAAACACACAAAGTGTGCGCAGAGCTGATTGCTATCTAGGCAGGTGGATGAAGCAGGAAAATGCATTTCTGAAGGTCAGGCTATCAGTGACTGTGGATTGGTAAAGATCTGTGACACTGTCTTGCCGCTTTCTTTAATCGGTGAGTGGTGTTCCCATTATAGGATGTTCGACTGAGCATCTGACTGCCTGTGGAAGTGAACAGAGCTAATGACTTGTTCTCATCCATTTTAACCAACTGAGCCAATCAGACCTGGGAGAGAAGGGTGCTTAGCTCCTAAGCAAATGTGCCTTCAGTCTGAGGCTTTCCCATTTCGTGGGAAATGTGAGGCCCAGGGTATTCAGCCTTCCTCCTCCAGCTCGCACAGTTCTCCCCGACGCTTCGTTTCCTGACGAACGCTATTGGCGCTGATACTCTGCATCTCTGAAGCTGGTCGTTAGAGAAGCAGCTCGGCTGTAGTCACAGTTCGAAACATGAGTCGGTTTCACAGCCCGGAAAGCCGTACATTTCAACTAAATGACAGTTCAGAATGAAGCAGAAGATATAGAATAAAGTACATACAGAATTCTAAAGCAATACCACCGTAAAAGAAACTGTAGTCTCACATAATGTGGTCTAGAAGGATAGATTTCTATAAAATGGCAAATTTCAGCTAAATTGTAGTTTCACAGTCACGAGGAATATGCAGAATACATTGCCTGTGGAATCGAAACACCATGGTGTCCTAGGGGACCAGACAGCCTCATGTCAGGAGGTCTAGAGAAAGGATGGTGTCCAGTGCAGACGTATGAGCAAGCTGCAATGGTGTCTCTACTTCCTGTTGCAGCTCAGGGACTCCCTTAGGAGGGGGACCATGGAGGGGCCCTGGAGGAAGGTCAGATCTGAATGGCAAAGAGTCTCCGTCACAGGAAGGGTGAGGGGGTTTCTAGCCAGAGGGGTCAGTTGAAGCAAAGATCCTGCAGCTGTGAGTTGCTAAGCCTGTGCACGGAGTTGAACCAATGTGTGTGCAGGGAAGAGGAGGAAGAAGGATGGCGCCTGGAAGATGGCCCAGGGCCAGATCACGTGAGATCACTGGGGCGTGGAAATACATGGGATTTCCATCCAAGAATACTGCAGAGTCATTAGAGAGTTTCAGGGTGGGAGCATACCATACATTTCTGTGGATTAGGGTTATCTTCAAGAAATGTTTGTGGGTGTTAAACCATGGAGGACAGGTTTTATGCCAGGTGCCAGTTTTAGTTAAATAGCAGTGACTTTCAGAATCCTGAGCTGAGACAGCTTCTGTGGCTAACAGAATTTGGTAGATAAGACTGACATGACCTGTTAGTCTGATCACTTGTGTATACTGTTTTTCTGCCAGAAGTTCTGGTAAAAGCAGAACAAAAAGAAAAATGAAATTTAAAGATTTAATTCCAAGAATAGCTTCAAAACTAGGTGTTGATGGTTGAAAATGGTGAGCATATTTTTAAAAACACAAAATAGAGATGGGAAGTTTGGTGTCATCTAGTCACGCCAGGGAAACCATGCTCTCTGGGGAAGGAGGCGAATATTTGGTGAGAGCTGTTGCTATGTTACAGCTGTATCACTTTGCATTTTTACAGGAGCTGGTGGTACTTTGCCACCTTCACCACCCCAGCTTGATATCTCTGCTGGCAGCTGGGATTCGTCCCCGGATGCTGGTGATGGAGCTGGCCTCCAAGGGTTCCCTGGATCGCCTGCTCCAGCAGGACAAAGCCAGCCTCACCCGGACCCTGCAGCACAGGATTGCGCTCCACGTAGCTGATGGCTTGAGGTGACTCGGTCATATTATTTTCTATTCAGTGCATGAAAAGGGTGACTGCTAGCCCACTGCCAGGCTGTGACAACAGTGCCTTGCAGTAACTTTGTGTCTCACTAGTATTTTCCAAGCAATTTTGGTGACAACTGCTGTTTCCTGGGTCCAATTTTGTAATTTCATAAAATAATAGCAGGAAGATCATGCAGTACCTCAGAGGTGGAATTCTGCTCTAGATCACGTCGTCCTAACCCTGTTCTGATCCGCCTCCCCTAAAACAATGCAGGTTAGACTTTCAAGCATCGAGGTGTCAATTAGATAATTCTAAGATTGGAGGAGAACCGAATCAAATTCAGTGGCTAGGTTTAATGTTGACCTTATGGGGACATTTGATTCTGTTCTCGTCCAATTCAGTTTGCGACCAGATTGTGGAAAGAATTAAATTCGTGAACCGAGGTACCACAGTAATTGGAGACGTCCCTGTCGCTATAGTTTCCTGGTGATTTTACTGTGAGCCACCCTTCATTCATTTATTTCTCTTCCATCTCACTTCTACTATTTCTGCAAATCTTTTCAGCCCTGCAACTAAAATACATCTTTCTGCAGCCTCTTCTCACAGATCTCTCACTCCCACTTGAGTCTAAGCCTCTGTCGTCTCTCGTTGTCCAACTTGTCCTTTGCCTTCGTTTTTATCCCAAGAAATCAGTTATCCTTGATACCACAGCTAGAGCAGTTTTCCACCATGGAAATTACATGAGGTCTTTTTCCTGTTACCAACCCTCTCCCGGCTCCCTTCCTGCTCACTGCACTCAATTGTTTGCTTCATTTGATTTTACTCCTGTTTTTGTAGCTAGGTCTGTCCTCAGAGAGGACGTCCCCAGTGACTCTGTGTCTCTTCATGTCAGTACCACTGCTACTGGATGCTCCTTACGTTTTTGTTTCTGAAATCTGCCTGTCCTTGCCCCGAGAGCCTACATGCAGTGGTAGCAGGGGCTTGTGTCTCCCTTGCCGTGCTGCCTCCGGCACCCAGAACAGTGCAGCCTCAGAAATATGTTGGGGTGGCAGGGAGCGAGTGGGAAAGTGGGAAAGAAGGAAGAGGGTGCTCAGTACAGAGTGTCCACGTCGTGGATGCGTGTTCCTTTGCTTCCCTCTCTTTGAGACGGTGATGAATATGCCTTCCTGGCAGCATCTGCAAATGTACAGGGAGTGGACAATAAGGAAAACAAATTAGTCCCTCACAAAACCAAGTTAGGAGCATATAACTACATATGAATAGTTTACATAGAGTATAGTAAAGGCACTAAAGGAGTAGATTTCTGTTCCTGGAAGGTTCCAGAAACTACTAAAGACCGTGTAGAACTTTAAATGCAGCAGAAGGCAGGGATTTGGATTTGAGGTGAGATACCTGCCTTCGAACACCAGGGGGACCCTTATGTCAAACAGATTTTCATAAAATGCAGGTTAGGCTGCTGTACGTCAGCCTCTTTCTTGAATATAACTAACTTCAGGGGCAAGTTGTTTCCTAATTCTTTCCCATAATCCCTAAAGTGCTCATTTATAAAATGAAGACTTGCTATTTTTTACTCAAGTCTGTTTGAAAAATCTTATCCTTAAAACAACTCATCTTAGTTCTCTGAAACCTTCCTTTAAGTAACAAACCCAGCAGTTTCTGACGATGTAAAGTAGCTCTCAGCACATTTTTTTCCATACGTTGCCTCATTTAATCTTAGCATAATACCAGGGGAGCTTTTGAGACCTTATGCCATAGAGGTTCGGAGGTTTTGATAGCTATCAATGTTTTTAGCAGCATTAAATATATTTTTAAAACTCAGCATTAAGATTTGTTAGCCCAAACAAAATTTAACAGAGAGCTATAACTACAGAAGTAGAAAGCAACAATAAAACCCCCGCCCTTTGGAATATCTTGGGTGAAGGAGCTCTCTGTACCACACACCAAAGAAAGGGGTTGGCCCGGGGGTGGACAACACAGGCAGCTGCTTCTGCCGTCTCCCGCAGCAGTGCCAGCCTTCCCAAAGCAGCAGGGGCCTGACTAGAAGGCGCGGCTCAGTTTAACAAAACCGTGACGTTGCCTTTTTCCCTGGTGGGGCCGATTCTGTAAGATGACTTGTGGGTATTTGTATAAAAATGAGTGTTACAATGAGAAAAACAAAGAAGGGCATACAAGACCTTTCTTCACACGCCGTCTCTCCTCTTCTGTAATCCTACTATCCGTAATACATCTGCAATTTAGTCCAGTCCTTCCAGCTGTTGATTGTAATTCTCAGCAATTTATCAAGATAGTCACCTGCATCTTGCAAAATTTTCCAAATTGAGTTTGCACCTTTGCCATTTTCTTCTGCCCTAAGCCTGTGGTTTCTCTGGTGTTCCCCATTCACCGTGACAGGACTCCTGTAGTCACATCCACAGCAAAGTCCTCCTCCTCCGGAGTGAGAATCCACTCGTCCATCAGGTCCTGGAGATTATTTTACATGCTTTTTAAGTCAGTTATCTATCTATTTATTTAGCCGAATGCTGCCTTGGTTCAGTATCTCCAAGGACTTATCAGAACATTCTTCTATTACAAAAACCTGATTACGCCTGAAATTCCTGCTGTTCTCCATTGCGCTCAGAGTCCATCCCAGCTCTGCAGCGTAGCACCTTTGCCCTCACGTGTGCCGCCAGCGCCCCCTGCAGCCTCTTACCGTTCCCCGGCCCGCATTCTGCATCCTTCTGCAGGGGGGAATTTCCACTGACATTCATGTCTCTGTCCTTACATTTGCCATTCCTGTCTTTTCACATCGTTGTCTGCCTGGGGAACTCCTGTCCCATGCGAATTTGCTCATATAGCCCCTTTCCTGTGAAGATCAACATCTCCACCAAGCAGAAGCTTTGCTCAGGTCTTTGGTCCTTGCTCCATGTAGGACACTGTGTTAGGTGCTGAAAATAAACGGTCGAGATGACCTCACGCTGGAGCTGGAAACTCGGTCCAGAGGGAGCGTCCACTTGATCTCTTTGCCTCTGTGCTTTTCTTCCTTTATGCTTCGCCAGCTTTGGTGCTTACACAGTCTGTAGCTTTAGTCGGGCACCTGCCTGTCCTGGACGGTGGCCTCCTAAGGGCAGAGAGGTGAAGATGGCTTGGGTGTCTTCGTGACTGGCTCTCCTAGATGCCACATCCATATTTGTTGAAAGAATGAATTCATTCTATTTTTTTTTTGAGTTATTTTATTTGGGACGAGATAAGATTGGACTTTAAGTTATGAAGGCAGGGGTTTCTTAGAAATTCTGATGATAATCATGATTAAAGAATGACCATTTAACTGAATATAGTTAATTTTAATAAAATATTTGACAGTATTCATTGTTGCTCAGTGCATCATTTATGGCTGAATTATTGTCTGGAAGGCAGGATCTGTACTTTCTACTATTTCAAAAGCTATTTTACTGTTCTATTAAAAGCTATTAAATTATATTTTTAAAGATGAAAGTATATAATTGAACAGTCTAGCCTAGATAATCTCTTTTCCACTGATACTATTTTCAAATTAAACTTAACTATTTTTTGGCATTTAGGAAGCATTCTGAAAGAGTCTGTTCTATAAATAGACAGAAAGAGGATACGTTACGAAGGGTTCAGGTGCTATTTAATGATGTATGACTTGGCTTTAACTTTTTCATTCTTAATCTCCGGCTTTTCTCTTCGACAAGGGAAGAATAGCTAATGGATTTTCAATAAGCCCTTAGTAAATTTTCCTTTCAAGCTCATTACTTTTTGTTAAGGTCAACTTCATTAGTGCGTCTGTCTTATTTATCAGCCAAAACTGTGCATACTGAAATGAATAGCCCCTTTGTCCGGTGGCCTAACTACATCCTGTAAGAGGGAGAGCCTGCTGCACTAGTTGATGTAATTAAATGACACAGACTATCGAGACTGTCATTCAGTGGAAGGTTTGGAGCAGCACAGACTCTGCTCCTAATCCCCGCAACAATGATCGGAACGAAGGAGCAGAGTAAACGCTCTCTCACATAATCTGAGCCCAAACCAAAACCCACAAACAAAGAACTGAAATTTACCTACATGAAGTCCTGGAAAAAATTGTTCTTTCAAGGTAGGTCATAAGATACTTGTGAAATTGGAGGAACAGAGAAGGCAGAGCTGAATTTTGTAGATGTCCAAGGAAAGGTGGCAGTACTTAAATTAGTTGTTGGGTCACTGTAAACTCTGACAGTGTTTTTAGAATGGATAAAACCTTGTTGAGATTAAAATTTCCCGGTGTTTTATATTAACTTGCTTTTAATTCCTTGCCTGAATGTGCAACTTTAGTTGCTTACAGTTGCATGGATTGGTCTCTAAAAGAAGGGACTTTAATATCCCCCAAACCATCTTCCTCAAGTCAATATTTTATTCATTCTCTCAGTCCAAATGTTCTCTGTTCACCTTAATTTATAACAGAATAGAGTTTACAGGATGTCATACCTTCCAGCAGAGTAAAATGAAAAGTCTTTTATTTTTATTTATTATTATTGAAACATAGGAAATATTCTTTGAAACATCTGGAAACATTTTGGAACATTTAGAAATAAACATTTTAGAACATCTTAGAACATTTAGAAAAAAATAACAAAGATGGGCAGAATTTTAAAAGTTGAGATGAAGTTCTGTTCAGTTTAAGAAAATCCAAACTGTTAAATAGAGTTACAACAAAATCTTATTGCCTCTTGTTTAACATTCATATTTGAAAAATAGTTAAACTACTCATTTTACATGAAGAGAATTCAGAATTTCCTTTCTGTAATTGAGGTATATGAAAGAGAATTCTCCAAAGTTGTTACCTTGCCTGAGATTGCTGTATTTTAAAATTTAAATCACTCAGCAGGTTTGATCCATTTAAAAAAAAGAAAAACCATAACCTTGCCTTGAGGTGTTAGATTTCTATGTTTTCATTTCCTTCTGTAGTATCTCTGTAGTTTCAAGGTCAGAGTGCAGAATTTTTGATGTTTTGCATAATGAACATAACAGATTGAAGGGAATTATGACAAAACTGTTTTATTGTAATCACATTTTCATAAAAGTCCTTGTGCATTTTCCGACAGATACCTGCATTCGGCCATGATTATCTACCGAGACCTGAAGCCCCATAATGTCCTGCTCTTTACCCTCTATCCCAATGCTGCCGTCATCGCCAAGATTGCTGACTACGGGATTGCTCAGTACTGCTGTAGGATGGGCATAAAGACGTCAGAGGGCACCCCAGGTAGGACAGGCATTTGCTTGACTCTATCTTCAGAAGGCATAACCAGTGTTCTCACTGTGGGTCCAGGAGAGTCAGAAGAAACACTGGCCTATCACACTGCGCACAGGTATTTATCTTTTGCTTTTTTGGGTTTTTTTTTTTTTTTGGTTTTTCTCCAGTACTGGGAACCGAACTCACGACCTTGCGCTTGCCAGGCAGGAGCTTTTGCCGCTGAGCTAAATCCCCAGCCCCGGTATTTATCTTTTGAATGATGGTGAACCTTTCATTGACGTTGTCATTACTGTCTTTCGTTGGACCAAAACCAAAAGCTTGATGTAATGTCCTAGGGTGAAACTGAGTACAAAGGAGAGAATATTTGATGTCAAATTATACTTTTTTTAAAGTTGTATTTTAATAATCTTCAAATACTCTGGAGCAGCAGTGGCGAATCTATGGCACACGTGCTACAGCTGGCTGTCTGTACCATTGAGAGCTGTGCAAGGTTCCCCATCGCTGCTCTGGAGATATTAAAAGCAACACAAAGCTTTAATATAGGCACTGTTGGCACTTAGCTAAAAACGAAGCCAACCAAATTTAGGTAGACAAATCCTTTTTTCATAACTCTGAACTCAAAAAGCTCTGAAAACTCAGACATTTTTAATCACTAAATTCTCTTGATCGTATGAGCCTTATTTCTTATACTCACTGTGAAGGTGTGACGTTTTACCACAGAAACATAAACAGGTGAGTAGGTGGGACTGGCCCTGACACTTCTGAAGGCTGATGTAATGTAGGGTATGTGCATCACTGTTAGCTTTCCTAAAAATAGAAAGTATAGATTCCCCAACACTTCTGGCTCCAAGACTTTTAGATAAAAGCTTTGATCTGGGTTTGTCCTGGTCGCGAAGTTCTTGATAGAAGCACAATTTCTTCTTATTTTAGGTCTATACGAGAGTGTAGGGCTTTATACACTGCATTTCAGTTTTCTTGCTTTGTAATCTGTACAGTGTTAATACTTCCATGCTGAAAGATGGTGTGCTCCTCTTTGCTCCTCCATGCCCACACTGGAGACCGCTACATCTATGGTCTGACATCATTTTCTTATCTTTTACTGTTGCTTTTATATTCACCCCAATCCTTTTTTTTTTTTTGGTCTTGCTTGTTCTAAGAATCTTATTACTACTCCTGTTAATTGACCCTATCTGGTAAAAATTCATTTCCAGTGTCATCATATACTTTCGTGTTTTCATGGCCCTGTATGCAGCACGTGCTTTGCACCTCACTGTCCACCCTCTGGGACCCTGATCCCTAGCTGCTTCTCAGCAACCCTCTGCTTCTCTTCCCAGGTTCATCAGAATCTCACGTTCTGATTCATAGGATAGAATCACAAAGCCAGACATCAGTATAAACTTCTTATCCTTCAGACTGCAGTTTGAGCAGGGAATAGAAAATTGCGGGAGTTGATATCCATTCTGGAAAGGATAGCTCTGTCTTTAGTCAACCAATATGCTGTGAGTTATTTGTAAATAAGGTTGGAGGTGTCTTGATGTCAACTGGGTGATTGCAGCTCATGCCCAGAACAGAAGTAAATGACTTAGAGGATATCTCACTTGGCATAGAGGTTCTAGTTTGCTCCACTGTCCCCCAACTTATGTGCTTAGATAAGCAAATGGCTGAGATTCCCTAGATTCCAATGCCTGATTTTATTTTTGCTCCAAATATATTCTGCCTTTTGTTTTGCAAGGTTATATTTTGGAAACATTGTCATAAACACATCAGAGTATATATGTGAGTTGAGAATGTCTCTAGGTTGTTAAATAATAATAAAAGTAACTACCATTTCTTGAGCACTTGCTGTGTGCCAGTCACATTACAGACAAAATCTCTTGTCTCTGTGCCAGGTCTGAAAGTTTGCTATTATTTTCTCATTTGTAAAACGAGAACATTTAGACTCAGTAATATTATACCATGCAGTGAGTGGCTGATGTGATAACTCAGTCTCAATAAAAACTGATTCCAGGGGTATTTCACTTTAAATCCTATGGCCTTTTTCCTAGACCACATCCAACTCTAATATGTACTCAAAAGGACTTAAATATTCAATCATAGTTATCAAAAAGCAAAACAAAAGAACGGAACCATTAATAATCAGTAGCGTAGCAAATATTGTCAACTGAAGATTTGGTAAAAAAAAACCTTAAGGGTGGAATTGCCAGGAGAAGAGCACACAGCATAGTGATATTGTCTCTGTAGATCTGTCACTATTTCCATGGGATCCTAAGGTGGACCAGACTGCCCTTGCAGTTCCTTTCTTGTCCATTCATTTGGACAGTGGCTTTCCCTGGGGACTCTTGAAGTGCTTCTGGATTTGAGCTCTGCTACTCACCTTAGTGGTTAGGCCAGTAGCAGCCAGCTCAGCTCAACTGGGTTCATACTTACAGCCTTTTATTTTGGTATGTGACTTCCTCATCTTGGCCGAAACCTTTGTAAAACTCTATAACCGTCTGATTCTTCATATGAAGCCAGATGCTTGCCCTAGATCACTTATGGTGTCCAGTATTGACTTTCGGCAACATAAACGTGGAGAAAGATCATGACACAAATACCCAGGGCCTGGTTTCTGTTCTTCTGCCCACTTTTTGCCTATGTTATTTAATATACTGTATGTTTTTTCCTGATATATCACCAAACTTCTCTTTATTATTAAGATTGTTATTTGTGGAGCACTTCTAGTTATCTCCGTCCTAAACTCTGCCTCAAATTTATTTATTTATTTATTTTTAAGAGCAGAACATATTTATTGAGGGAAAGAAAACTTTTGTCTGAGAGACGGACAGAAGGGCACCCTAGTGGGTTGCCCAAGATTCTGTCTTTTCTAGGGACTTTTATACAGCAAAACCACAAGGTGAGGTGGATCCAAGGTGGGGGACAGTGGGAAATCACAAGGTGGACATGAGCTGGGACAAAGCTGTGGTCAGCCAATAAGATTACAAGTATAATTGTTCAGGTGAAATTGATTGAATCAGGATCAAGTGGGGAAGCAAGTCACACAGCAAGTAGTCATGAATGCACAACGGGGGCTTTTCCTGTAAGGGGTTGGGGTCTGTGACTCTTCAAGGTGATCGCTACCTATTTAGAATATCAATCCCTGATGTCCATCCCTAGGGAGGTATGTGGGTGCATTGGTTTAGTCTTTTATCTTGAGGTCTGGCCTGAAACAAGTATGTCTCCATTTGCAAGGTATCTTGTCTTCTATATTGGCTCCTTCGAGGGCCTGGCCCTGTCTGACTGCCTATAATATGTTTAGCTACCTCAGCTCTGCCTCAAATTTAAATAACAACACCTGCCACCATTACTACCATTGCCCCATCCCCCACCAAAGCAATTCTGTATCCTTTTCTTTTAATGGATCTTCTTGTTAAGGTTATATCTTTTAACATGAAAACTTGTTGAGAAGCCAAAAACCACATACTTGTTAAATTTTGTTTTGCTTTGTTTGTTTTATGTTAGTCTTTACCACCGTGCCTTCACCCTGACTGTGTGCATCAGTGTGGGTGAATTATGGTGTCTCAGAGGAGACATGAGTAGGCACACGCCTTTCTCGTTGCTGAACAATACTCCTGGCTTGTGCTTAGTTAGCCTTTTGAATGGATTGACTAAGATTGTTACACAGCTAGTTTCTCTTAGTTCACTAAAAAGGAAGTTTTGTGCTGATATTGTATAGACAAGATATCATGCCTATGTCTCTTACTCTGAATATTGCTAGGAAGACAACAATGCACAATGTATCAACTGTTGCAACTGTCCTAAAACCTCTTTTGAAACTCGGTTTCATTGTTAGGTTGACTGTCTCATTGAAACTTTATGACCCTTGGATATAGTCTTACTGTCATTCTTAGCCTACGGGTGAGGAGAATAAAGCTTAGGGAATGTTAACAAGGTCTACAGGGTGCAAACACAAGCAGACTGAGAGCAGAGCCTCTAGCCCAGCCCCATGACGTTAGAACATCCAGAGGCAGGAACAACTCACTGACATGCACCGACCACACTGTGATGTGAGTCCATGTCTAGGAAGGGTAAGTACCGGATGCCTGAGCTCAACTTTAAATGGCTCGCAGCACTTCAACTCTAATTCCACATGAACTTCCTGTTGAGAGTGACAGATAATGCTGGATCCTAAGACAGCATTGTTGACTGAGGTGAGTGCTGACTGATGGATTCATACCTGTCAGTACCCGTATGACAGCCATTAGGCAAATAGAATGTTATCCCTTCTGGTTATACACTATCACCTGACAGAGATTATGCAATATATTCGACTCATACTTCTCTGACATTAAACAAGAAATATAGTACATGTTTCTGGGTACCAGGTGGAATATACTCAGACTAATGCATACATTTTTCATATTCTTGATCCCTGGATCTTTTCTTTATTTGCTCTTTACATTCGTTAAAATTCAGGCCTATCTGATAAAGTATTGCTAACAATAGCTTTTAGATAATGAGTCATATTTTTTCAATTCCTTTTAACATGGTAATTGTTGTAATAAATCTGCAAAGGAAAATTATACTTGATGTGTTCATTTATTCATGCCTTTGGCAATACTTTATTAAACACTTACCAAGTACCAAACTGATTCTACCACTTAATAGCTTTGAGGTGTTCATCAGTAAATTGTTAATGTAATCAAGGATATGAGAAATTCCTAGGATGAATTTATAAAAGCATTTCAAAGAGTATTATAATTTAAGCACTTTCTGAATGTATGAATAATATTATGTTCCCATACTGGGAATCGTGTCAATGAAGACATATAATTAGAAAGAGAAAGGTAAGAAGGTTAAAAACATTTCCATATTGAAATAAATATTTCTTTCTATATTCATAAATATATTAGTGTTCTCTCAATAATTGTGAAAAAAATTCCACCCTTTTGAGCAACTCTACTCTGTGAGTTAAAGTCTGGAGAAATAAAGTCTGTTGCAAAGGGTGTGTGCATTGAATGAGAATTTAGAAGCTAGACTAAGTGACCCTTCAAGTTTCTTCCTCCTCTCTGCTTCTGTGATTACAAATTCTAACAGTGAATTTTGAAGGAAAGAAATGGGCTGAGCATTTTCATAGTCCTTGAATAGAACCTTGATGTGATGTACACCTAATTAATGTGTTGAATGAATAATAAATAATTGGATAAGATTTAAATCAACTTCCAAAATCCTTTTTAAATTCTAAGAAGATAAACATAAAGAACCAGTTAATGTGTAGTTCATTATTCCTAAATACGCTTGACTTCACCATTAATTATATTGGTAGTCCTAAAAAAACACATGACATTTCTAAAAGGACTATATCATTTGTACAGTGGAAAGATCTGTCTACCACAAGTGGTGAATGTTCAGGAAGGTGCCTTGTAATTAAAATATTTGCTCACAAAAAAAGGAAGGTGCCTTGTAAAAAATTTAGAAATGCAAAAAAAGAACATGTATACAATATTGACACATAGAAATACTCACTATTACATTTGGATATATTTCTTTCTAGTCTTTATTACTATATGCATTCCCATCTTCTTTTTATTTTGAGAAAGTTTAAGCTACAGAATTTGAAAAAGTAGTATAATGTGCATCCTTCTACCCTACACATATTCACTGATTTCAAACTATTTCCTCTCCTCTCTCTTGCTCTCTTTGTATGCAAATATGAATCTTTGACTCTTTGACAGCAAGTGATATTACTGCTAAGCATATGGCGGAATTTCCTAAGAATAAGTTAATCACAATACTAAATGAGTTGATCACAATGTCAAAATCAGTTAAGAAAATTAATTCAGTTGATTTTTTTCTCACATTTTAGATGTTTATCCAGAGTTATATCACATAGTTTCTTTTCATTTATGTTATAACGTGTCATCTTAAAAAATGATTTTTAATATACTGCATAGTACGTATTGCTTAACCATTTCCCTGTTGTGGTTGGATTTCTTTAGGTTATTGATATTTTAGATTGCAGATATTGTTGAATTCTACAATCTTCAGGTGGTAGAAACTATTCAGTTTTTGCTTGAAGGATTAAAAGTGATTTATCCCTTGTGAATTGAAAGGTTTATTCCCCTTTAAAAGAACTTCAGCCATGAGCCTCGGAGGGAGCACTCCTATTTATTTTAATTTGATTTTCATTTTTATTTTTTTCATTGGGTGGGATGGAGTGGAAGTAATAAGGGCATTGGGCTTCCATTCAGGTTAAAGTAACTTGGTGTGAAGTCCAGGTGGCTCTTCCCTTACTACCCTTCTTTTTAAAAATCACCACCCTGATAATCATTCATATTAGGAGCAGGAGAAAAAATGAAACAGATTTTTTTCCTCTGAGGCTTCATTTCTTTAATTATAACTACCTACTCAATAATTTATTATTGAATGTTTATCCTTTTTATCCTTCAAAGTAATTGTATTGAAGACTGAAGATCTTATAATAGCATTATAAGATTTTGTAATAAACGTTAAAGGAGATTAGTACCCTGCGGTTGTCCTTGGGGAGTGTGTCCTGGGACAGGCTGGTCGCGGATCTCATCAGCTGTCTCCATGGAGAGCTCAGAAGGCCTCCGAGAACCCGAGGCCCTGCCTGTCCTTGGCTTATAGCCCTGGATTGGCTTCCTGGGATTTGTGGCCCCCATTGTTGGGCATACTTATTGCTGTATCTGCTTACTTTCAGGGTTCCGTGCTCCTGAAGTTGCCAGAGGAAACGTCATTTATAACCAACAAGCTGACGTTTATTCATTTGGGTTACTACTCTATGACATTTTGACAACCGGAGGTAGAATAGTAGAGGGTTTGAAGTTTCCAAATGAGTTTGATGAATTAGCAATACAAGGAAAGTTACCTGGTAAGTTCTATTTTGTGTAAGGTAAAGACCTTTTCCTTCATGTCCATGGTTTCATTTCCAAGTAGTTGTATACTGAATTCATTTCACCACTGACAACTTCTATTTAGTGCATAGATATTCCTAAATCCTATGAAATGTAATAAAAATCACATGAAAGAGATAGCCGTTTTCAGCTTCAAAAAAATCCCAAGTTAATATCTGTGAATTTGGTATTATATTTACAGGAACACTCAGGAAAGGCAAAGTGCTATTAGAACCCTAGACTTGGGAACTTCTGGTTCTCATGAAGAGTTACTATGTTCCCACTAGGCAGGAGTATTTTCACTTTCTTGGAGCAAAATAATTTATATGCAGGAATGAACGCTTGAATTATTTATAATAATAATTGTTAGTAATAAATATTAATAAGAACAGCTAAATGAGTACTTAATGAGATCAAACCTCCTTTTAGTGGCTCCCTTACACTTTCAAGAGATTCTAGGAGCTTGTCCTTGATTCGTTGATCAGTAGTTTAGTTTCCACTACAAAGTGTGCTTTGTATTTATTTAGGTTTCTCATGTATCCCTTTTTTTTAACATTTAGAAATACCTTTGAGTACACACACGATGGACCAGGTGCAGGGAATACAGCATTAGCTACTCCTGTTGGGGGACTTGAAATGATCCTGGCAAAAGGAAATTTATTATTCTTTGAATAAGTTATAGAAACTGTCAAGGTCATCTTGTTAATTTTATTAGTCAGCTTTTCAGTGGAAGCATCTAGGTCTGTCTTCGGCACCCACCTGAGGAATGCCATTCCTCTTAGAAATAACAAATGTGCACAGACCCTTTGGGGGATAGATATGAAGAGAAAATGCATGCTTCCTTTTAAAATTAAAATGAAAAAGGATTTAGGAGTGTTTTCAGGGTTCATTTTAAATGCAAGCTTAGAATGGAAATCTCTTTATTTTGTTCAGTTGGTGTCTTGTCTCTTTAAAAAAATCAAGACATTTCTTTTGCTCTGTCTGCTAGAGATCAAGTTAACAAAATTAGCTTTAATTTTGTCATAAGTAAAGTTGCAGTAAATACAGGACTATAGAGATCAGAGTTTTCCTTTGCAACTTCTGGACTGCTCATGTACACTGAGAGGAAAGAAATAACTTTGTTACTGTACTAGTGTGATATTTTTCAATCTTTTAGATCCAGTTAGAGAATATGGTTGTGCCCCATGGCCTATGGTGGAGAAGTTAATTAAAAAGTGTTTGAAAGAAAATCCTCAAGAAAGACCTACTTCTGCCCAGGTATTCTTAAATTCAAAATTTGTTAATATTTTATGCAAATGTGCTATACATGTGTATATGTGTATAAAATCCTCAAATATATTTAGTGAAAAATGCATAAATAAATATATGCACAGCTGAAAATAGTTATAAGGAAAAACCCTTATGGTCTCCTCAATCCTGGAACACAAAAAAATTATTGACAATACTTCAGAAACCCCCATGTGTCTTTTTCTGATTGCTATTCTGTATCTCTGTGTTTTCTCTTCTGTGGAATGCTTATCATTTTGCCCATTTTCTGAACAGCTTATCTGCCTAAAATTACACAAGCAAAAGACAATCTTTACTTGTACTAGTCTTTTGTTGGTTATTGCCTGTGTTGAATATTTTTCTAAGTTTGTGTTATATGCTGTTTTTATTTTCACTGGGGCACCTTTAGCAAACAGAATTTTAAAATTTTATTATGATAAGCTAAGCAATTCATTCATTTTGTGGTTCTTACTTTTCAGGTTCTGTTGTAAAGAATACTTTCCCCTCAAGTCACAAAGATATTTACCTATAATTCAATAATTGTAAAGTTTTAGTTGGGCATAACATGCCAGTTATCCCAGCACTCTGGGAGACTGAGGCAGGAGAATTGCAAGCTTGAACCCAACCTGAGCAACTTAACAACCTAGTAAGACTTTATCTAAAAGTAAAAAATGGATGGGGATGTGGCTTACTGTGAAAGAAAGAAAGGGAAAAGAAAGATAAGAAAGCAAAAAGAAAAGGAGGAGAAACTTAGTTTTGCTTTTGACATTTAAAGTCTTAATTTATACAGAACTGATATTTTTATCTAGATCCAATTTCCACATGGCCTACTGTGGAGGACCACCGGGATGGCTCTCCTGGAAAGAAGAACATTTGGCTCCACTTTAGCTAAACTTGGCCCTTTTTCTGTGTATTATATGTAGAGAGCTGGCTAGGATATTTCTTTATCCCAGTAGTCTTTAAGCAGTGAAGATGGGTCTAGCCAGGTGCTGATGAGTTGTCTTTAAAGCAATGCAAAAGCTCAGAGATGCCCCGCCTCTAGCTTCCAACCTGTATGTGTGAGCTAGAATGTAGGCCAAGTGGCGCTGCGCTGTTGGCTGAGACTGAGGCTCCAGAAAGGATCTTGAAGTCTCAGGGAATGAAGATTACACATCAAAGCTGAGGCATCGACCCAAAACATAAGATCATCCCTCAGACTGTGTCATGCAGATGACTCTGCATCTCTGCATATTGCAGAGGTGCTATCTCGCCTCCTACCTACCCCAGCTCACAGCACTCACCTGTTTCCCTCTGTTCTCACAGCCACTCATCCCTGAGCCACTGCGCTCTTCACAAATTAATATAACCTGGATTCAGCCCTGAGTCAAAGTCCTTTGTTCTCGTTAGCCATTGTTCTAACTGGACTTAGGAACCCCTTGGCTGCCCGCAACTACATATATGCCTTAGTGTCTATTCTCACCATGCGTTACACTGGAAGTGGTAGATTGGAATTAACTTATTGGAATTCCAATAACTTTCCCCTGGAATTACAAATATAAATTCCACTGGACTGGGAAAAAGTCTGGAAAGGGCTTCATATAGCAATTTTTCTAGCTTGCTTTATTAAAATTTTTCTCCTTCTTTTCTGTCTACTGATCTGACATGTCTGTTCTGTAATTGTTTCAAGATACATTGGCAGATTCACGCATAAATTCTCTTCCGTTGGTTAACTTACAGTTCTTCCTACTCTGGCTTTAGAATAATCCCCTTCCTTCACTTACTTTTCTTGCATAGGAGGGTTTTAGCTGTTACTAGCTATAGTACTATGTAAAACTTAGTTTCTTTGTCCAGTCTTGTGATAAACCATATCGTGCTTTGGATTAGGTTTTGGCTGAGTCTGTAAACAATTTGGGGAGGATAGAATCTTTAGAGTGCTAAGTTCCCTGTTCTTGTGTGTTATCTGTCCATTTGCTCAGGTCTTCTCTATGTCTTTCAATGAAGTCTACGTGCAGGTTTTCTGTATTATTTGTTGGATTCTCCTATAAATGTCTTTCAACTCAATTCCAGACTTGAGTTTTTGTCTTTGACGTTGTTTTAACCACCCAGCTGACATGAATCTGGCCTACAAATGTTCTTGAGAGCAACAAGCTTAGAAATAGCAATTTCTCAGGGTCCATTTGCACCCACCCCACTCTCTCTGCATAGTCCCATAGCGGCTTTCCATGCAGGTCCGTGAGCATGGGTGAGCGGCCATGTTTATTTATGGTGTTTGCTTATACTGACTAAAGCAGTCCTTTTGAGTCCAGCTTTATTAAGACTGTCTGCCTTGGACACCGCCTAGACCGTAACTTTTCTTCCATTGGCCTCTCAAGGAGAATCCAAGCCCACATCCATTTTAGCACAGTAGATAAATGGGCAAGATGGGTAACACAGGCTCTTACTTAGATGAGGCACTGTACTGTAAGGCGCTTCCTCATGGCCTCGCAGGTAATGGGCTGGAAGTCATCACAGATGTGGATGTCACTGAGCGTCCTGACACTTTCTTCTGTTTCCTTATGACGTCTCATATTTTTCAGTGCTTACAGCACATCACAAAAACAGAATCTACAAATGATTTCTAAATTTTTAAACAAACATTCAAATTTCCATTTCCTTCAACTGGTAGAAGTTCTACTCTTGATGATCCAAGTGTTTTTCTCCCACTCAGCGTGACTCTGCAGTATAGAACTGAGTGAAGTTATAAATCCTGTCTGCTAAAATTCTATGTAGTTGACACTGGAGATTTTACTTTCAAGTTAAAAAAAAATACCACATGTACAATAGAATACATAGAATGCACAATTAAAAATATGCATTCATTTTTAAATAATTTTATCCCTTATTCAGATTGTTAATCTTGATCATCTGAATGGGTTACTGTTTAATGAATAAATTTAGGTTTTGCTTGCTGTACCGATAGCATTTAGTTATCGATTTGATCTTTCAAGAGGAAATGTGAAACTTGACAGATGTTTTCCTTCTAAACTTTCCCAGGTTTTTGACACTTTGAACTCAGCTGAGCTGATCTGCCTTATGAGACATATTTTGATACCTGAAAACGTTATTGCTGAATGCATGGTTTCTACGAATCCTAGCAGCAAGAATGCACATATTTGGCTGGGCTGTGGGCACAACGACAAAGGGCAGCTCTCCTGTCTTGATTTAAACACCGAAGGACACACTTTGGAGGTAAATCTGAGTGCACTTTCAACTAACACTCTTTGGAACATTCACTTCACCATAAACTGAAGTTTATGCCAATTAAAATTATTTTAGAAGAAACTAAATACGAGTCCATGTAGGAGTATTATTACCAGGTATGATTGAAATATACAGTGGGTGTTTAAATTAAAAAAAAAATTATTACAGAACAAGACCCATTGCCATTAATGCCATTAAAAATATTCACTCTCGCTTCAAACTCACTTATACCGTTGTTCTCACCGCTTTCTGAAGCAGTTCTGCAAGTCCTGTTTCGTGAGGGTCTTTACCGGGTGTGAATAAGAATATAGTGCGTGCTGCCGCTAGATGACATCCAGTGGAGAGGCAGGCGTTGAAACTTTATAGTGTGGACCCATTTGTTGTTGAAAACTGACTAGAATGGCACTGTTTTTAAAAGTAAATGTGCAAAAATAAAAAAATTTAAAAATAAGAGTAAAAAGGAGTTAAGTGTGTTGATAACAGAATAGTTTCATTCTGTCAAGTTCTAGGAGTGTCCACGTCCCCTAGCGTGTGTTTCCTCCCCTTTAACAGGAGGTGACCGACAGTAGAATACTGTGCTTAGCCTGGGTGCACCTTCCTGCTGAGCGGGAGAGCTGGATCGTGTCTGGGACACAGTCTGGGGCTCTCCTGGTCATCAATACTGAGGATAGGACAAAGAGACACACTCTTGAGAAGATGACGGATTCTGTTACTTGTTTGTATTGCAATTCTTTCTCCAAGCAAAGGTAAGTTTGTGTATTTTTTTTTTTTTTTTTTGGTTTTTCTCCGGTACTGGGAACCGAACTCATGACCTTGCGCTTGCCAGGCAGGCGCTTTGCCGCTGAGCTAAATCCCCAGCCCCAGTTTGTGTATTTTTAGATGAGGGAAATCACATGGCTTTTAGATGAGTTAATTGTGTGCAGAATTGTTATTGTGTCCAAAAAGGTTGCTCGGCTTACTTCCACTGGTTTGCACACGCTCAGGGACACTGGGAGAGGCCACAGTGATGCTTGTTATTTTTCTGTACACAGATGTAAGATGAGGCCGTCATAAAATAAGTCAGCCATTTCTTCAGGCTCTTAGCTCAGTCCTAACTCTATTTCTGCTTCCCCTCTTGTCTGCTGGATTGGTAGAGCCTCTTCAAAATGGAGTTTTCATCCATTCTTTGAGCACATGTACATATTATCAGCCTGTTAGGTTCCAGGCTTACACATATCAGTTATCTAACCACCAAATAGGAGAAGAATGCGATAAGTTAATAAGTTGGTAACAGGTAAAAATGACTCATCCTTATCATCTATAGGGATCTGCCAGTGAAACGTACCTAAGTGGCAGAATTTCCGATGCGAGTCATAAGTTGGTTGTTGTAATATTTGGGGCACGATAATTTCTAGGAGCCATTTAGGTTGTACCCTGTATTCTTCTCTGGTTAAGGTGAGTAGTAGAAGAAAAATACAGGAAAAATGTGAAGCTTAACATTTTGGTACCTGATGTGGAAATTGCACTGTGAACTTGGCAGTTGAAGTTACATGTATATTGTTAAAGAGAAATATCATGGGATGGAGTTAAACAAGAAAGACTATTAGAGGTTATGCCAGTGGGGAGAAGAGTTGGACCCAACTCCTCAGAAACAAAAGTGGAAAAGTTTTAAACACAGAGATGAGCTACAGGTGTGGAAAGGTTTTGGAGGGTATTGCAGGTAGTGGTGGGGTGCTAATGTGATTAGGCCACCTGTCGTGGCTGATTGTCCCTCCTTGCAGGCAGCCCTCTACCTTCCCGTAGAGAAGAAGTGTTAGAGGTGTAGCTCTCCTGATGAATAATTTCAAAGAGATGGCTCCTTGGTCTTTGGGAAAGGCTTTCCTGTGTTGTAAAACTGGCAAGAGGCTAGGAAAAGATTGACATCTCAAAGGGATAGAGAAAGAATTTCTAACTGCAAATTTTCTAAAGTAAATGCTCTCAGAAAAGGGAGGTCAGGTGTCTATGGTCTGAAGAAACTTTTTTAAAGTTTAGTCAAGCTGGGGAGAAATCTAAGGTTGTCTTAGCCAATATAAATTTTTTTTGTAACAATTTTGACATTTTTCCTTTTAGCAAGCAAAATTTTCTTTTGGTGGGAACAGCTGATGGTAACTTAGCGATTTTTGAAGATAAAACTGTTAAGGTAAATGTTGACTGCATTGTACATCAAATTTATTTTGCATAATTAATTAATTTCTTTTGTGGGGGTATTGAGACAAGGTCTTGCTAGTTCACGCTGCACTTGAACTCACTATGTAGCCCAGGCTGGCCTTGAACTCAGGGCAGTCCTCTTGCCTCAGCCTCCCAAGTACTGGGGTTGCAGGCATACATTACCATGGCCAGGTAGTCTTGCAAATAGTAGACTCTCTGAAAACACTTGCTGATTGTATATTTTATGTGAATACACTAAGGATGATGCGATAAGCGCGATCTGATTTGTAATGTTGGAATGAAAATAATTCAATTTGTATGAGTGTAGCAATAATTCCTTACAAATATATTGTGGAAAAAAATAAGGATACTTAAATTGTAAATCTAGCTTGTAGCTAAGGGCATAGCTCAGTAGAGCCGTGCTTAGTGTGTACAAGGTCCTGGATTCAATTCCAGCAAAACACACACACACACACACACACACACACACACACACGGGGGGGGGGAGGTCTGGTTTGCTGTTAATTTATTTAGCACTAATCATTTAACTTTCTGTTCTTTGAATTCTCATTTAGTTGTAAAAGCATTTATTACTTCATCTGTTTGTTTGTGGTTCCATCTTTTCATTCACCTTTCTACCCATTCATTCATACTCCCTGATATTATCGAGACACATTCATACTCCCTGATATTATCGAGACACAAAAGTGTAGTCCCTGACTTAATTATTATAGAATCTTTGCATGAAGTGGAGAAATTGGTTATGAAGATAATGTTTTGACTGCCAGTTTAATTGAATCCTGTTTTATAGAAACTTTGAAAAGTGAATCTAAAATTTTATTTCATTATCTCCAAATCATTTGCAATGGGAAGTAGTTTCATAAGCAAAAATTGTGCAGTGTTTCATCCCGCAGACCTTCAGCTCACGAAATGTTTTTTCTGTGTGGCAAAGTGTAAAGGCGCCATGCCTCTGAAGACACTACACGTAGGGACCATCAGCACGCCGCTGATGTGTCTCAGCGAATCCATGAACTCCAGCGAGAGGAGCGTCATGTGGGGAGGATGTGGCACGAAGGTTTTCTCGTTTTCTAATGACCTCACGATTCAGAAGCTCATTGAAACGAGGACAAATCAGCTGTAAGTGGTTTTCTTTCTATACAATCAGTTTACCATTTATTTGTGTTTATTCCTTATTGCTATATCAGTAATACTGTTATTTCATAATGAAGATCATTTAAAATGCATGCTTTATTTTTCCATTATAAAATTAAACAAACATTATAGAAAAGTAAGAAATTCTAGGAAGCAGAGGAACATTTAAAATGAATCACCTAGGGGTTAGGGATTTAGCTCAGTGGCAAAAGCGCCTGCCTGGCAAGCGCAAGGTCATGAGTTCAATTCCTGGTACTGGAAGAAAAACAAAAAACAAACAAAAAAAATCACCTAACCTAACCACTTTCAGGATAAAACATGTAAACATTATTATTCCAGTGGTATTTATCAATCTAAATTTTCAACCATTTCATGATTTCTTTTTCAAATTAGACACTTAGAATTAGAAGGCAGTCAACTCAGTGTTTTATTAAGCCGTGCATTATATATATATATATATATATATATATATATATATATATATATATGCAGCATATATATAATGCATATATATGTGCAGTTTTAGATAATTCCATTAAGAACTGATTGTAGAAAACAGACTGCAGAAATAAAGTTATTTCGAGATTGGTAACTAATTATCAAAATGTAAACCAAGTTAGTAATACCAGTTTCAAACAAGAATAAAATAAAAGGGGCTGGGGATTTAGCTCAGTGACACAGCACCTGCCTGGCAAGTGCAAGGTCCTGAGTTCGATTCCCGGTACCAGAACGAAAAAAAAAAACAAAAAAAAAGAATAAAATAAAATATATTTGTTCCAATTTTTAAATCGTATTTTAACTAAATGCAGCTGGGTCTTTTTCATTATGCTCGTCAGCAGTAAGCAGTAGAGGATGGTGGGCGAGAACATAAATTATAGTTTGAAAATTGGCTTTGACTTTGTGAACCTGGGGATGAGCCTTTCAAATCTCAGTGCTTTCTTACTTCAGACTGCAATACATTACTCTCTCTCTAAGGGATGTTTTTTTTTTGTTTGTTTGTTTTTGTTTTTGTTTTTGTTTTTCTCCGGTACCGGGAACCGAACTCACGACCTTGCGCTTGCCAGGCAGGCACTTTTGCCGCTGAGCTAAATCCCCAGCCCCTCTAAGGGATGTTTTTAAGATTAAGAAAATTATAAGGAGTATCAGGAGCTTCACATAATACCCAGTACATCGTAAGCTCTCAGTAAGCGTTAACTATTATTATAATTATTATTAGCTTTGACTCACAAATGACTATGCCAGGAACAACTGTAATTTCTAACATCCGTCTAAGTGCCCAAGACTAAAAGGTGGTAGTATTCTTGGCTGTTTTGTCCCTTAGCTCCTTTGTCCACGTGATTCTCCTCACTGCCTCAGCCTCCCAGAGTCCTGGCTCTACAGCCGTGCACCCTCCAGCTCTTTTTAAAGAGTCCCTAGTGTGGCCTGCTCTCCTCGGCATGAAGCCCAGCTTCCCCAAGGCAGCCCCCCAGTCCCTTCGTGATTCAGTCCTGGCTTAGCTCTCTCGGTTCATGTTTTGCCTCTTCCCTTCCCGCTGTGCTTTAACCAAGCCGAAATCTCAGGATGTGTCGGTGAGAGGCATGGGGATCTGTGAGGTAGAAAGAAGTCTGCTCTCAGGAGGGAACACAGGAGCTTATAGGCCAAGAAGCATTACGGCTGGGGCATTTCTGTGTTCTGGAGGTTGGAAATGTGTAGAATTTGTGAATCGATAGAAATCCTGGGTTCACTTTACAGGCAAAGGACAAAAACCCAGAAAAGTCATTTTATCAATAAAAGGCAAAGAAGGGCCTATTCTACAGATTTAGGGAAACCCATAGTTTTCTTCAAAGTACAGTTATAAAGTTACATTTTTTTTTACCTGTCTTTATTTCTCTGTGTCCTGCCTCATCAGTTGCCAAAACCAGCCTGCTGCTTTGGATATAGTTTTCTCTTTGTCTGGATGGCCCATGCCCGCCCCCCGGCCTGTTTTTCTTTAGAGGGCCTTTCCTCTGACTGCTGTCCCTGACCCCCGACCCATGCAGGTTAGGGGCATGTTGTACTTTCGTAGCATCTACTGTTTGCTTTTACACAGGCTGTCATATTTTTATAATTGTATCTAGAAAAGTTTCCTAATACCACCAAACCTTCTGATTCTCAGTGTTAGCTGTGCATTAGAAACCACTAGGGAGCTGAAACTAATCTCGTGCCTGAGCTCCCCTTCGACCAGGTAAGACTGGGAGGGCCGGGCTTCAGGTTGTTCCCCCGGCCCCAGCTCTCTGGTGATTCTGAAGTCAGGGTTAAGCTACACGCAGTTCTCTGCAAGATCCTGGTCACAAACAAAAGTGGACAAGAATTGAGTCCAATTTCCCCATAAAGTCAACCTTGAAGCTGACCATTGCATTTGATCCAGTTTGCATCCAGCTCAGTTTGCAGCAGGAATCATGGGAAGAATCAAGTTCATGAACCAAAGCTCCACTGTGTTAGGCTGCCGAAGGTGTTCCTCTCCGAAGGAGATGACGCCACAGTGTCATAAGCACTTAGAAATATTTGCCTTCTTCTGAAATGTGTCTGCTGTTGTCCACGCCTCTTCCTCAGTGAACAGACGTCATGTCACCAGACAGATGGTGTCATCACCCTGCCTGTGTTTATCACAGTGACCAAGAGGTGTATGGAGTGAAAGCCAGCTGCCTTTGGGGCCAGAAGATGCCACAAGACGTATTTTGAGTCCCTGGTCTGCAATATGGTCATGTGACTTGAGCAAATTAGTTAGCGCTTATAAACCTTTCTTTCTATAATTATAAACATTGAGGTTTACCATATTCTGTGAATTTATTAAAAATCAGACAAGATAACACAGAAGTATTTTATAAATTTTGAAACTCTATGTGAAACTTTTTGCTACCTTGTATTAAAGGTAGCAAACCCTCAGAGGAAACTACTTACTGAGCGGTTCTCTGGCAGCACAGCATATTTTCATCTGCCTTAGCAGGATAGAAAAAACATTGGAGAAAAAAAATCTTTCCTCCCTAGATATAATTACAATTGTTAGATCCCTATGGAATTTTATGATTCAATCGCAGTTTTACCTACTTGTACTTTTTGTGGTTGCTCATTCATCCTGTCAGTTCTTTATCCATCCGTCCTCCATCCACCCACTTAACCAGCTGCCTGACAGGCACGTCAGAGGTCCTTACCCGTGACGGCTCTTCACTGGACTGTGGGCGTATTGAAAAGACACAGTGTTCGTCATTAAGACATTACATTACAGTCTAGTGTGAAGGGCACACTGACAAATAAAAGTGGTATTAGTAAGGACTGTGAAGTTACAGCCACATTAGTGGGGGAAGTAAATATTTGGTCTATCTAGAAAAGCCAGGCGAGAATTCCAGAAGAGCTGACATTTAGGTCAAGCCTCAAAAGCTAAGGCGGAGCTTGTCATATAGATGGGGCCCTCTGGTCACCAGTCTGTGAAATGGGTTCAATGCCACATGGCTTACATTGGAAGACAAATATTCATCATTTTCCTTTATTTTTAAAGGGCAGCAATGGCAAACAATGTACTTTCAGTTTGTGTTTTGGTAACGTAGGTTATTTTTCCTAGTAACTTGATTGGTGATATGTTGATGGGAGGATAGCCCTCGTTTTAACATTGGAAGGCACTGCCCCTGAAATTATTTTGAACATTTTGTGTTTTATAACTGTAGATGTAAACTGCTAACCCTTAGTTTTCCAGACATTCATCACAAGGGTTTAATTGCAACATCAAAAAGTTGCAGATATTAGGATAGTATTTCTGTTAGAAGTTGAACTCAGTATGAAATTCTATAAAGAACCACACAGAACTGAAATGAAAACTAAAACCAGAAATAATCGTTACTTATTTCTTTTATTTTTTTAATGAAGGGAAACCAATATAAACTAGCCCAAAGTAAGTAGAGTAGCAAAGTATATTATACATCTAATTCAGTGTTGATTGTAGAAAAAGAGTAATAGTCTAGCTCCTACAATATTTTTCTAAATAGCATTAACTTTCCATGTGCCTCAAGAACTGATGTAAAGCCACATTGCAGATCTTTTATGACATTCTTTTTTTTTTCTCTCCTAGGTTTTCTTATGCGGCTTTCAGCGATTCCAACATCATAGCAGTGGCAGTCGATACGGCTCTCTACGTTGCTAAGAAAAACAGTCCTGTCGTGGAAGTGTGGGACAAGAAAACCGAAAAGCTCTGTGAACTAATAGACTGTGTGCCCTTATTGAAGTAAACCCGCTGGTTGTTTTTCACCTGTAACAGCTGTCCTTACGTGTCGGGTTTCGCAGAGGGAGAAATGATGACTTGTTTTTCTGCCTTTCTGTCTCTAGATAGAAATTTCAAAAGACTAATCATGTGGAGACAAAATAGCTAATGCTTGTCAACACCCTCTGTTAGTATCCAGTGTATTTCATTTGGGGAAAATAAAAGAATAGGAAACTAATATTAATGATTTCTTAGTGGTAGTACAAAGAATATTTGCTAATGAAAAAGTAGTTATTATTGGAGGCAAGCATACGGCTTCATGGCTGGCTGTGTATCTAGTAGTGTCACAGTATCAAATATTACTACTTATAATTGAACTGTGAGCCCAAGGATACTTGTCAAACAGAATGTCATGAAATAAAAGAATGACATGGATGGACACACTGGTGTGTGCCGCGGAGGGAGGCCGTAGTCCCAGAATGAGAGCTCAGAGGGGCTGTGATACCTCGGGCAGGGACCAGTTTCTCTGTGTACACTAAGTATGTCCTCTATGTGATGGTGCCGTTAAATGGGACCACGGCCCATCTTGTTTCCCAGCCACGTACTGTTTTTATTTTATGTTTGCTCTTCTGTATAAATGTGGTATAGTGTGGAGAGGGTTTCAGATTATACATCGTGTCCATAAAACGAGGCTTCAGAGATTACTTCTCTACACTCCCCTTTACTGTTGCCTCTGCGTGCTGAGAACCCAGGATCAGACGGGCTGACAGTTGTGCTTGGTAGACGGTCTGTCTCTTAGTTACTAAAGTTTCACAATTCCTAGGATTCTTCTAATTCTGGACAGCTCTTTTTCTTTCTGCTTTTTGGTATGAATTATGTCTTTCACTGGCTCAGAGGAAAAATTCAGTGGTTCCTATTGCTATCTTTTACATATAATGACCACATTTTTATTTTGCCTTGTAACAGATTTTGAGGAAGCTTTTGAAACTTACTTTTTTTTATATTGGACAAAAGTACTCAATTTTTACTGGATTAAATAGCTTAGTTATTTATAAACTTGCATCCATCTTATTTATTTCAGAATTTCTTGGACTTGAGAGACTACCGTTGTGTTATCTTTGATGACTTATGCTTTAAGTAGAGAAATAGGCTTTTAGGCATTCTGTATTTAGCAAAGTCAGTGTAGTACAGTTTAACAATATGTAATGTACACAGTCTGTCCTTTATGTTCTTAAGTTCTGCATTGACATTTTCAACCTGCCTAGGATCAAAAATGTTGTTAGCTGAGTGTGGTGGCACAAACCTGTAATCCCAGCACTCGGGAGGCAGAGGCAGGAGGATCACTTTGAGGTTAAGACAAGCCTGGGCTACATCGTGAACTCAAGGCCAGCGTGCACTACACATTGAGACCCTGTCTTGAGCAAAAAAAGAAAGAAAGAAAGAAAAAGAAAGAAAGAAAGAAAGAAAGAAAGAAAGAAAGAAAGAAGAAAGGAAGGAAGGAAGGAAGGAAGGAAAGAAGGAAAGAAAGAAAGAAAGAAAGAAAGAAAGAAAGAAAGGAAGGGAGAAAGAAAAAGAGTAAGAAGGGAGAAAGAAAGAAGAAAGGAGGGAGTGTAATATTAAATGTATATGTGCACATCTGTCTATCTATCTAAGTATATATGTGGACAAATCTGTTTTATCTCTGAATTACTGACACAGATTAATAATGCATACTTTCCTTGTGCTTTTAGGGAAGTAATGGTAAAAGTCAACCAGGAATCAAAACACAAAATGTCCTATTCCGGGAGAGTGAAAGCTCTGTGCCTTCAGAAGAACACTGCGCTCTGGATAGGAACTGGAGGAGGCCATGTTTTACTCCTTGACCTTTCCACCCGTCGAGTCATACGTGTAATTTGCAACTTCTGTGATTCTGTGAGAGTCATGATGACAGCACAGATAGGCAAGTTTCTTTCCTTTAGTTTCTTTCCATGTCCTGTAAGACTGTAAAATATGGCTTTAAAAAAATAAGTTTTCATTTGCGATGTCCTATGGTGTGTGTTGGCATGTCACATAACAAAGCAGAGGGGTAGGATAAATTCTCAATAAATTTTCAGTTGCCCCAATTCAACAAACAGAAGAAACTGATGCCTCAGCCCCGAGGGTGAAGCAGACAACTCCAGCTGAGCATTCAGTTTGGGTCTTGGTTTCTTTTTCTTTATTATATGTAAGGCAAAAATGAAAGATACATGGTGTTGAGTCTGTTTCACTTTTTTGTCAAAGAGGTTAAAGCAAATATTGATTTTGCTAATAGTTTAAGTTTCCCACCCTTGTTAAAGAATCCTGTTTGAGCTTTAATTCTATGAACAAATTTATATTCTTGTAGCAGTACATGCTGAACTCAGCTATCTACAAATATTGACATCGGGGCTGGGGATTTAGCTCAGCGGCACATCGCCTGCCTGGCAAGTGCAGGGTCGTGAGTTCAATGCCTGGTACCAGAAGAAAAAAAAAAAAAAAAAAATACAAATATTGACAATTCATAAGTTTTGCTCAAGTATTATGTCTATCCTTGCTTCTGCTTTTCTGTTTGAATGTAAAGGAAATCATGATAGCACATGCAATGTATTTTCCATATAGGTATATTTCAGTGTCTTTCTTAGATTAATAATTTGATTTAGAAAAAATACTGCACACATATGTATACAGAGTTGAGCACAGAAATGACCCTGTAGTTCTGCAGAAGTAGAGTTTGTGTAACTTGGGCAGATGAGTGGTGGGATGCTTGCCCATGCTGAAGAAAACATTTCTTTTGCAAGGGCATGTTAGATAGGGACAGGTGTTTCTCCTGTACCCCACGCATTTGTCATTTAGGGTTGTCAGCCATGCAAAGAGGTTAATTAGGCGCTCTTAGTAACTGTTAACTGCTGGGATATGTGTCCACGCGGGTAGCATAGTAGGTCTCTATATGTTTCTTTCCCCAATCGCACTCTCCTGTTGTTTTTACATTCTCTAATTTAATTTGTGTGTGCCTTGGGACTCATGTGGTTGTTCAAAACTGAAATGATAGTGCTGTTTCAATGGATGTTGATTGATTTTAAAGATAAAGATAAATGTAAACACCATGTAGGGATTTAGACATGGGCTCCAGGAGGCTTTCCCCCACTCTTTACCGTGCTGCTCAAGGTCTTGCTTGTCTAGATGAGCACACACTGTCTGTTCATCCCGCCTGAGGGATTTGCAGGTGCTGTTTCTTTGCTTAGTCTACTTAGCCTACCTTCTTGCTTAGTTAACTATACACATTTTGAAGCGGAAACCCCAGAGAAGCCAGCACTGATTAAATCAAACTCCGCTTTCTGGTTCTGCTAAGACGTCGCCATCATATCCTTCATCACAGTCATGATTTTTCCTGTTAATGTCAGTATCGTCACTAGAACATAAACTCCCTATGGGTTGGATCTGCATGTTTTTGTGCAGCTCTTTATTCCAGGACCAACTCTGGGCCTGGTACATAGATTAGCGAAGAAGGGAAGTGGAAAATACGGTGTTGTGAACATCGGTAAATCCATCCACACAACTCTTCATCCACGTTCTTCGTATTTGAGCCTTGTAGTGTCAAAGCACTTTCATACACATTATTTCTTTTAATATTATAATGGGGGATGTAAATCTATTTTATAGAATGGTTAAGTTTTCTTTTGAGTCGCATATTTGGCTCAAAAAAAGAGATTCATTTTCCTTTTAAAAAAACCTGATAGTCTTCTTGTAGGGTTTATTTAATACAATTGAAGTGTCTCCTAAAAAGTATAATTGTAATTCCAAAGTGTCTGTGACTTAAAATGTGAACAACTGTACTTTTTTCTCAGTCTGGATCCATAGACTATTTTAACAGGAAACCGTTGTGTTTTGTTTTGGTAAAGGAAGCCTTAAAAATGTCATGCTGGTTTTGGGGTACAACCGGAAAAGTACTGAAGGCGTACAACACCAAAAAGGTACTATTTAATAGGATACTATATTCCAAAAAGTGCAATGATATGAATAATGATAATGTATTACCTTCCAAATTTATAGTAAATGATATATATATATAAATAATACTTTTAGCATTTCTTTATAGTGTAAAAAATTTAGTCATAAATTCTTAAAATTGTTTCTTTGACTTAAAATGGTATTTTTAAAGGTGAGATAGAGTTAATAATCACTACAAAATAAGAACTAGCTGAAATTTAAACTAAATATAAATATTTCTTCTTACAACTTACTGATAACCAGAAATCTGATACTGAACAGTGTTTGAAAAAGTTCTCCATTATTACCCTTTTATTATCTTGTTCTGAAATTTTGTTTCATTCTTTCTCTTTAAAATTTAAAAAAGGAAAAAGGTCTATTTCTTTCAGAAAATAAAGTAATACATAATGAAATATCCACACTTGGGGCTGGGGATTTAGCTCAGCGGCATAGCACCTGCCTGGCAAGTGCAAGGTCGTGAGTTCAATTCCTGGTACCAGAAAAAAAACAAAAAAAAATCTGCACTCTTCTTGAAATTTAGCAGTTTCTATATGCCTAATATTTTCCATAGTTTTTTATAAATGTAATAGTTAATTGATTATTTATAGCTGTATTCATATATATAAATATCTATCTAAATCAACTACATATAAATTAAGAAAATTGAAATAAAAATGCTTTATGGTGGATCACTAAAGCATGTTTTTTTTTTTCTCCTTCTAGAGATACAATCTTGTTTGTCAGTTTGGGACATCAATCTTCCACATGAAGTGCAAAATTTAGAAAAGCACATTGAAGTGCGACAAGAATTAGCTGAAAAAATGAGAAGAACGTCTGTTGAATAAGAGGGATGTCAGAAACTTTTGTTTTTGGTTGGGAAAATTGTTCCATGTAAATATTTCTTTCAGAATATTTACCTTGAAAGGGAAACTTCTAGTTTTTGAAGTAGCTCTTGTATATATGAAGGAATGTTTATGTGTTTATTTTTAAGTTAAATATGTGTAAAATAGTTATCAATGAATGTGTGTTCCAAGAAACTATTTAAAATACAAGTGTTACATTACCTATATACCCTAATTAATTTGGTGAATTAATTTAAGTAAATCTATGAAGTACTTAATTGCAGTACTCACACCAAACTAATAAAGCAGTCATTTTTGCTTTTCTGTCCATACTGAAGATGAACTTTATTTTAAATTCTATGCTTAATACAGGGCTGTTGCCTGCTTATTTTCTGGAAATTGTGCAGGGAAGAATTAAAGTATTTGAAACTGGGCATGGTCGCACACCACTGTAATCCCAGCACTCGGGAGACTGAGGCAGAAGGATCACTGTGAGTTCAAGGCCAGCCTGAACTACATATATAAGACCCTGTCTCAAAAAAAAAAAAATATATATATATATATATATTTCAGCAGTTCCCCATGTAATATATTCTTTCTTACATTGATTTTAATAATATAGACTTTTAACTTCTCAAGTGAATTTTTGGTGATAATTCATACTAATATATTTAGGACATAAATTCTCTTTTTTGTTAATGCAAACAGTGTATGTCACACGACTTCATCTACAAGAAACACATTAAAACGGCTGATGAGAAGATAAGAAAGCTATCATCTTCGTTTCAGAGAAATATATTCTCACTCTCCTTTCCTATTTTTTAACTATGTCTTTGAATGTGGATATCCTAGTATATGTATATCAGCTGTGAATGCATTGTCAAGAGCCTGAAATGATATCTTTCTGGTTTGTTTTGATGTTGAGTGATAAACCAGACCACTGACTGCTTGTTTCCAAATTTGCTTTGCTCTAATTCTTCTACTTATATTTTCCCTAAATTTGTTACTCTCTACATGATGTTCTGTATCACTTAGACAGAAACTCCATTTTTAAAGTTATAGTAGTCCCCCACTCCTACTTACATCGGTGAGGGTCCACTAGAGGAACAGATTTAATATAAAAACCATATATATGATTTATAAGGTAGGTGTACAAGGGCTGCCTGCAGAGACAGATGTGGAGGACAGCAAAAGAGCTGTCTGTGTGCTGGAGACCTGGAGGATCCAGTGAAGAGTCCAAGGCCTGGAGCTCACTGCAGAATCCCACAGGAATTCGAATTAGGAAGCCGGACAGTCAGCGCTGGAAGGCTGAAGAGTCTGTGCTGGCGGCCTGTCGACAAATGTTCAAAGGCAATGGCAAAGACAGCTCCTTGGAAGGAGTGGAAGCAGACTTCCTTCTTTCCCTTTTTATTCCAGCCCGGCCACAAGCTTATTGGTTGGTGTCTCTTATACCCAGAGTGGGGCTTCCTGCTCCAGGAAGTCAGTCATCCAGACATACCCAGAACTGTGCTAAACCAACCTTAGGGGTTTCTTACTCAAGTTGACAACACAACTCTCCACCCAAGCCTATGGGAACAAATACATAACTCTTCATTTCATTGGAGAAAATGAAACTGCAGCTATGATGAGCAAATCCAGCTGCCAACCTGATCTAAGTTAGATCTAAATTGTTTAAATGCCTTTCCACAGTAGAATCGCTGCCACATACATACATAATAGTTTGAGTATTATTTCTGTCTTTGAAGGACACATTTGGCAAATTCTTTGACAAAAATACATCATCTCAAACAATTCCCTATGATAGAATAACAAGCCTATCTAATTTTCTCGGAATTGACTGGCATTAATTATATAAAGAGTTTAAATTTCCTTCTAGTAAAGGTGATCAAATTAACCCCGAGAGATTTTCTGCTTTCAGAGGGATCTGTTCTTTGATTTATTGTGTAGGCTGGGGATGGTGGTGCATGCCTGTAATCCCAGCACTCAAAGATTAAAAAAAAAAAAAAATTATGTAATTACTAACAAAATCATACTTGATGGGGGTCTTTATTCCTGGATTCTTTCGTTTTTTATACATATGCACATTTTTAAATGAAAGAATTATACAAAATATGTAAATAAACATTGTATTTAAATAAAATATTTTAAAGCATGTGTATATTTTTAAAACCTTGTGCGTATTGGACTTTCTGCGCATGTCTGCTGCCCACCTCATGTGAACCGTTGTAATCTGAGTATTAAACACTTGAGTGTAGGAAGGTGCAAGGCAGTTCCTTTTCCTTGGCAAGTAAAGGGTTATGTAAATTCTTTACCCTGTATTGAAACAAAGTAAACACTTGAGTACTTGAAACAAAAATAAGACTAGAACAACTGATGTAGACAAAAAAATACACACAATCATTTTGTCTTTCCTGAGTAGAGCCCCAAAATAAACTACTAAGCACTATCAAAACAGAAGCATTTTATCTTAACAGAAAATATGTGTTTCTTATGGAAGTTCAAATTCAGAAAAGGAGCCTCTGAAAATCCAATTCTGGCCAGCACTGTGCTACTTTTAAACTCAACTGCAACTTATTTTTGTTTTAAATCAGGACAGTGAAATATATTGATGAAACAGAAGTAAAAAAAAAAAAGGCGAAACTTTCTAAATTGAAAATGAACTCAGAGATGTGCAGATCCTGAGGATGAAATTCCGGGCATCCTTACCACCTTGGAGAGATTTAGCACCTAACCTGTAAGAGTGCGCTTGCTCAAGAGTACAGGGAAGACTCAGGAGTGCAGTGAAATCAGAAACTGCCAACCCTGAGGAAGCGAAATTCTCATTTTCCATTCTGACTGGGTCGCCACCCACAGTGTCTGTTTCCGATAACAACTCAGACTCTGGCTGTTTAAAGGTAGATAGGTACTGTACCGCACTTGGGTCTTTCTAATTTGTGAAGGCCTGTGCAGTATTTTAGCACCTGGGTTCCCAGTGTCCAGGAGACACTGAAGGAAAGGCCCCTCTGAGTGTGCAGAGCGGAGACAGGTGGTTTTTCCCGGTGTGCCCCATCCCGATTCCCAGCCTTACCCGAGAAGTCTGGGTTTGCAGGAGCCTCGGCCCACGAGCAGGAGAGGAAATGAGAACAGGTGTCTCGGTCATGGGGCTGTGCGTGGCTTTCGTGAGAATCCACTATCGCCACAGCAGTCCTCAAGTGGACGACTAAAGACTCCCGAGCATCGTGGCTGTGTTACTCAGACCCTAGCTTTACCGCGTTTACCCATTTGTGTGCTACCAAAAGGGTGTTGTTACCACTTATTGATGAAAACACAACACAATGTGATGGATTTCCTTACAGAAATATTACAGGAAAAGGGAGAATCTCTGGCCAGAACAGTGAAGCACCTGAGAGGAAAGCAACATTTTAGAAAATGGCTAATCTTTGAGCTGAGATTTTCAGGATGCATAGACAGTCATCTCCAGAGTGCGATAAACATTACAGCAGAGGGGTCACGTGGGCGCTGTCTTAAGAATATAAACTTTAAAAAAGCATCCTACCAAATACTGGAATTGTGACAACTTCTCATTCTTTCAAACTTTGATTCTGCTATATACAGGAGACAGTTAAGTGAGTAAATATGTAAGAGAAATACATCTTTATGTCTTGGAGTAGCACTTTATTATGAGATGAGGGAATATTAGGCTAATGAACTCTGGAGGAGATTCTAGGATGAAAGGAGAGACGCTCTGAGTACCAATTTAATTTTGTAAACTAAGAACATAAAAGGAATCTGTTGCTTTATGCATATGGCAAGGGATTTTCCTCATTATAAAATGAACATCAAATTAAGCATCTTCTATTATATCAAAAAGTACATATAGGGGATATTCAATTCACTCTAATTACCTTTAGAGCTACTTTAAAAAGCACACTTTAAGCAGAAAAGATTACCTATTGAGAAGACCTGGGTCTAAATCGCCAGTACAGCATTTACTAGCTCAGTGAACTGGAGAAAGTTGCCAAAATAGCTCTCATCTAAAAAAATACCCAGGGTATGTCGTACACCACTGTTACAAGTTGGATGTAGGATGACCCTCACTGAAGCCTCATGCATTCAGAGGTGGGGTTTTGGAAGGTGGTTAGGGCATGGGGCCACACTCGGGTGGATTAAATCTCTTCATGTGTTCGTATTTGAATGTACGCTTGGTAAGTGGATCCTGGCAGGAGGAGGTGGGTCATGCGGGCAGCCTTGTAGGGTACATTGCTCACTCTCAATCTTTCCCCGGCTCTTGTTGTACGTTCTACTCACTGGCGGCCGTGGGTTGAGCAGTTTTCCTCTACCATTCCCTTCCCCCATCAGTTTGTACCTTGGAGCTGTCTGACCATGGACTGAAGTCTTATCCAAAACAAACCACTTCACCTTAAGTTGTGACTATCAGGTATTTTGTCTCTGTGACTAATAAACCCACCTTCTAGAAAGTTCTGGGGGCTCAAGGAGGATAGGGTTAAATTAAAGCTGAGCAATAAGACCAGATCTCATGCCAGACTCCTTATTTAACCTAAAGCTTGTCTTTCATAATAATCAGGTGAAGTTTATTTTCTTTATTACTGTGAATTTAGTGACCCACAAGAGGGCCCCAGGACAGCTACCTCTCTAGCTGTTCATCAAGTAATATCAGGAACTGGCTGTGGATAAACTAGTGACAAGACTAGCCCAAGGAAAGAATGATCTTTGTTCTTAGGATCTGTAGAACTGAAAAATATCTCTTGACCGGTTGATTAGGATCTGCTGCACATCATTTGGCCGCAGACCTCCACCTGTGAAAAGTGGAGCACTCCACCAGTCCGCAATCATCCTCGCCTGTAAAAACTGCCACAACCACCCTCCTGGCAAGATGGATGTTGGGTGATGGTGCTCTTTGTGATTATCCCACTTTTTAAAGAGAGCGATCTTTCTTGACTTCTGTCTTGATTTCATTGGCCTGTCGTCTGGAAAGTGTGACAGATTGCATGTGAAGTTGTTGATTCCCAGGTAAGTCCCAAGAAAGTACCATTCCATAAGGATCTTCATGCTGGATATCAATATCGCTAAAAAATGTATCTCCCTAGTATCTTTCACAGTAATATATATGACGGATCTTTGGTAGTTATTTCTGCATAGCATTAATGATAAACCCTTAGATCCAAGGGATTTTACCCAATGGGCCAGGAAGCTAACTTGTAGCCTTGAAAGAAACTACAGCAAGGTATTGGCTCTAATTATATTTTTCTTCTTTCAGGGAAAGCCATGAGCAGACCTGGGTGGGCAAATGATCTCTTTCTGTCTGCAGCATGCCTGTGTCATTGCCTTCTTGTCTGCTTCCATTGTAACTGACTGTTTTTTAAACTATGCTGGTCTACACTCCATGAAGGCCTGAAATAGCAGGGATATTTCCTTGGGTAAAAGTGAAGATGGTCGTTTCAAGAAAGTTACCTGTTTTGCTTTGTCTGCCATCACAGAAATCAACACATTAAGTGCAGTTCTATCAGTGGTTTAACTACAGGCATGCTTGATTTGCTAGGATAAAGATCAGTGCAGTGGGTTACATTTATGAGTTTTTTCTTTACTGAACTAGTTGCCTGCAGCTGCTTATTTCCTGAAAGTGTATGCTGGGTTCTGAGCAGGGTAATGTGCAGCAGAGGAGGAGAGATTGCTCTGACTGTGGTGGTTGGTAGAAGGCTAGAGGCAGCAGAAGGGAACAGCACTGAGGGTTAAGATCGCTAGATCGGTACGTGATGTATGCCTGTAATCCCAGCTACTTGGGAAGCTGAGGTTGAAGCACTGAAGTTCAAGGTGAGCTTGTGAGGTAGAATGTAGCACACGGACAAGTAGT